TCGAGCAGACCTTGTTCCCTTCGATAATTCTGAGTTCTGATTCGAAGTATTCAGAACTTCCCTTATCAGAACATTTTAGATTAAGACATCTCTGCACTAATATGCCATTCGAAGGATACTATGCCTTGGTATGCCAATCGAAGGACACTTTGTTCTGATGCTCCAATTGAAGGAAGCTCTGATTCTCCAATCGAAGGAAGCTCTGATGCTTCAATCTAAGGAAGCTCTGATGCTCCAATCGAAGGAAGCTCTGATGCTCCAATTGAAGGAAGCTCTGATGCTCCAATTGAAGGAAGCTATGATGCTCCAATCGAAGGAAGCTCTGATGCACCAATTGAAGGAAGCTTTGATTCTCCAATCGAAGTAAGCTTTGATGCTCCAATCTAAGGGCATTTCGTTCATCTTCAAATTTTACTTTCCTCAAGCAGATGTTTGTAACCACCCATATAAAAGAAAATTTTGAAAGAAAATGAGAGGGCAAATTTTGGGGTACAACAGGTTCGTATACCCTAGAGTTAGGGTTCATGTTAGAACCCTAGGGTTATTAGGGTTAATATGGTTTAGTTAATGATTAGGGTTAGGGTTTGGTGATATTCTTAGGGTTCTTGGGGATTAGATGTGTTCTAAGTTTAGGAAAAGGGTTGGGGTTCATAACGAAGAACCATAGGTTTAGGGTTCATGCAAATCTGAGTTTGGGGTTAAATGTTGGGATAAATATTGTTGGGGTTCTGGGTTTTTGGGTTTAAGTTTGGATGAATATATGAAGATCCACGGTGGATATTCTGGGTTTGGATGACCACCACCGGTGGAGGCGATTTCCAGTCGGTGGTTTTAGGGAGAAGAAAGAGTATCTCTCTCTAACTCTCAGGAAACATTTTGTTCGGTTTGGCTTAGAGAGAGAAAGAAATCAGAAAAATGAACCTCAAGCTCAAAGTTTCATTTATATAATGCTCCCCCATGCTCCTGATACGCGCCAGATGGCTCTTTGAGATTCTCTGGAGGGGGTGACCGTTGACCGGTCACCTGCGCCCATGTCCATCGTGTTCCCTTAGTCAACATGCAATCTTAACCGTTAGTTTTTTTACTTCTGATTTCGTTCCAGGCATGTTTGCTAAGCGGACCTGTAGTGAAGGCCTGATTCATTTAAGCGAAGTCCCAATGAATGAAGTCAGTAGCTTCACCAAGTTCTGGAAACCAATGTTCGCTAGGTGATCTCCCAGCGAGACCCCGACTCATTATGTGAACTAGATGCAAATAATTTATTTGTTTCAGTCCCATATCGTTGCTAAGCAAACTTTGAGCTCGCGGAGCGAACTTTGCTACACACAACTTCTTGTAAGTGAACTATAGTTTGCTAAGCAAACTACACTACATTCAGAAAAATCAGAAAATGTAGAACAGGAATTGGGACTCCAAAGTCCCAAGATTTCCACATGCATCTAAAATTGAGTCAATAACAGATCATGGGAATCACATACACATAAACTACTACTAAAATAGAGTCTTAAACATGCATAAACAAGGATTATTAAAACATTTACTCTCAAACCTTTGATCCCAAAATCATGCATTCATACAATACCCACAAAATCCCAAGGTTTCTATCTAAGAGACTCACATTGCATCAATAGAGGTTAGGATGATGGTACAACTGCCATTGTGTTCAATTCATAGACAAAATTCCACCTCAAAGAAATAGTTAGAATGTAACTACAATCTAACTATTCCTTTTGAGTTCTCTACTAATTCTAAATTTCCACTAGTGAAGGTTACACAACAATCTTCCATAGTGTAGAGATTTATCTCATAGTATTTCATACCCAAGACTCTTCCTTATTCTCCAAAGAACATATCAATGTGCCTCCTTCTCTTAAAGTGAAAATAACACTTGCTTCATCTTTTACCTCTCAATTCTTGGGCGGGAGTCTGAACTAATTTTTGTAGTGCATATTCTTTCCATAATTCTAACACTTGATAATCTTTGAGTTGTGGAAATTACAATGATTTTTAAATTTGGACCGTCTTTCCTTTGATTTACCTCGTCCATATCCCATGGTTGAATTTATTCCTTTTGACTCTGTATGTAATACTGAAGAGGATGATGATTCACCTAACTCTTTCTGTCAGATCGCTTTATTGAGAACCAGATCACGAACATCATCAAATTTCATTTTTGTACTTCCCGACGAGCTACTCACAACCGTGACAGTAGCACTCCAACTATCTAGTAGAGATGACAAAAGTATAAATGTTTGTGCCTCATCCTCAAGTCCGATTCCAATTAAACTCAATTGGGGTATGATTATATTGATATGTTATGCAATCGATGTGTCTTATGTCATCCAAAACTTAGATATTCTCCTCTTCAAATGAAACTTTATTTAATGCTGAAGGCTTTTCATACATGATAAAAAGAGCCTTTATAAGACCATCAATTGTCTTCTCATTTGCAATGTTAAAAGAAACATTTCAAGATAGAGACAATTAGATAACATCAAGTGCTTGTCTATCGAGAATGTCCCATTCACCTTCCTTCATTAAATATGGCTTATTATCCTTGAGAGATTTATGTAGATTTATCTGATACATATAATCTTCAATCTGCATCTCTCAAAAGATAATGTATGAACCATCAAACTTTTCTATTTTTAGTTTACCTTCATTTGAAGCCATCACTCACACTCAAACATGAATTCTCATCTAGATCGTTTCTAAGAATTTCTCGCGAAAAAATTGTAGAATTCTCAACCAGCTTTGATAGCAGTTGTTAGGAAACTACGCAAAATTTCTCATATTGTCATATTTGTGGAAGGAAAAAATAATCTGGAAGCGCACTAAAATTAATATAAAGTGAAATATACGAAATGTTTAATAACAATCCCTCTCACAAAATCCACAACCCGTTTACACCCAAAGAAATATTTCTCACAAAATTCTCTCACTAGATTTTTTTTTTCTTTTCTTATTGGATTGTAACTCGCTAGTTGTTATTACACTTATTGTGATTTTTGCAGTTGTTGAAAGAAATAAAACAATCACTACTTTTACAATCAAGAATAAAAGAAAATAAGTTGTTATAATGAAAGAGAAACGTTCTCGTTCTCTCACCATGTATTATGTCCTTGAATTGCTTTGGATCTTCCTTATTCTATTTCCTTTTGTTTCTCTTTCTCTCTCTTTTATTTTGACCAACAGGTTCTAAGGTATTTAATGAGCCATTTCTTCATTGAGGTCAATAAATCTACTCCTATATAGACTGATCTTGTTGGATCCTCATCAAAATGTATTATCTTGAAGCTTCCATGTAGGACCAATATCATGGTATTTATTTTGAGATCCAGTGGTGAATCGAGCTCGTCACCTGGTATGGCCTCATCTTCACATATGTCGAGGTTAATTGTGTTCACAATGAACATATGTGATGGAGGTTACTCGAGGATTCGTCAGTATCATTTCGTGAATCAAACGAGCTCCATGTAAATATGATGAAATAACGAGTGATTTGCCAAAGTTATAGCGGTACTTCATCTTAAGGTGGACAATAGACGCCACGTCTAGTGCGAAGAGAAAATACTTCCATAAAATTCAACATTAGACTTTTTACAAGGGATCACTAAGAAACACACATCAATGGTCTCCTCGTTGTTCCCTTCCACGAAATAAATCAGTGATTCTACAACTCCGTAAGGGAGAATGGCAAAATTGTTGAAGGCCTAGAAATTCCTACCTTCTTATGGCGTGAGGTTCATATCCTATAGCCCAAATATCATAAAGGCACATTCGTACATGACATCACAAGAGCTTATTTCATCATACACTTATGACCAATTAAAGTGTCACTTTGGAAATACCATCCACCTTTTCGCTTTCTTGAAACCTATAATATGTTTATATTCTTTTTGCCTCCTCTTTGTTGCTAGCGGTCTTGAAGAGCCTCGTGTGATACACTTTTTTGTTTACTTTATACCCGCTAGACGATTCAACATCAATCAAAGAGATGACGAGGCAGGAGGATCATTTTGAGGTTGATGAACTCGTGGTAATTTTGAAAATGGATTGGAGATCATCATCGTCCTTGAAGCAAGATTATTGTTGCCAATACATGACTTTAGAATTAAAAGAATTTGATAGTGAAGATACAAGAAAATCAGAAGACGATTCCCACAGACGACGTTTTTGTTCCGTACATGAACCAAAATGATGGATTTGAAGATGTGAAGTCGACTGGAGCAACAACACGTGCTTTTTAGTACGACGAAGAGAGGCATGCATGCAAAGTTAGCACTTCAACGCCTGAGTCAATGAAATGTGGAAAAAGTGATGATGTGAGTTATGATGAGAACATTAACGTATGACGAAGCTTATACATGGTAGACAGTTAAAAATTAAAACTACCTTATATCCTTCGACTTGAGATCTGAGAATTGTCTAATCAAATCAGACGATAAGTGATCTTTAGGAGGAAAAGAACATATGTCTAGTCTTTTGGCGTGATTCTCCTAAATCCTTAACTAATTCATAATGTGTCTTTTAAATTGGACTTTGGTACAATTAAACCTCCAATCTTTTGTGCCTCCGGACAATTTAGAACAAATACAAATTAAATAATATTGAATTAATAGTAATAAAAATACAATTTATTAAAAAATCCAATTAAAAAAAAACTTGTTTGTTGTTAAAACAAATGTATTTTTAAGTTTTTTGTATTTGAACTAAACTTTAAATATATTGTAACAAAGAAAACTTTACACATACCACAAGTTAAAATGTTTTGAGATTATCCTCCTGGATTATATCGGTGGTAAAAAATAAAAATAAAAATCTTGAGAATATTCCATTTATAAAAAATTTTTGTTAGTTTGGAATATAAACATAAAACATACGATGATTGATGTGGTATCACTATCACCCATTAAATCTCTCATTAACAAGGAAGAAGAAAAAAAACTTCTCAAAACCAAACAGCAAACACAGCAGCAACATCGTAGAAACCAATAAAAATGCGTGCCCACGTTTTGACACTCTCCGCCAACACCACTCTACTACGCCAAGCTCTTCCCGTTTTGGTTCGATCTCACAACAAACCCACCCTTCTCTTCCGAACCACCGCTCCTAATCGCATATCTTTCCTCAGATCCACTTCACAAACTACTCCTTTTCGCCATATTTCTTCTACTCCTAAACGCAACGATACACTACTATTCACCACTACTCTTCGCAAGTTTACTTCACGCGCCACCGTCAACGACGCTGGTTCTTTTGATTTGCCTCTCATTCAGTCTATGCAGAATAAGGTATCGTTTCCCTTGCTTTCTTGTTAGTACTATTATGATTATGATGTTCTATTTTATTGCCTGGCAAGTGTTTGATGAATTGCTAGCTACTAATATTATGTTTTTTGGGTCTATTTTCATGCTAATTTCTTTCTTACTTTTTTAATGTAAATTTGCATTATGCTCCAAAAGATTAAGGAACAACTCAATGCCGAATCAGTTTTGGTGAAGGATGCTTATGGCGATGGACGACATGTTAGGTGAGCATGCTCTTTAAGTTTTAATCATTGAAATGAATTTCGATTTTATTATTTCAACTAAATGTGGTCTGTGGTTATCCTCGTAAATGTATAAACAGAGAAAGTCGAGATCGGTTGATTTTATATTTGTTAATTAAGTCGATAAGTCTACAAAATTTCCTACAATTCTAGAACTGTTTGATATTCCATGTATAATATGATAGTTAAAACATAATCTGATTTGAAATGTCTATTATTATATTACATTGCATTTATCACATAACATATTTGGCGGTTTAAAGACAAAATAAATCCTTGAAGAAGCAGGCTATATCAGTGTTATCGAATATCGGCCATTGCAGCGCTATGGCGGATATAAGTGGCGGCTTTTGAGTTTGCCGCAATGGCAAATATCAGCCACTATTGTGGGTTTTTCCTTCATAATTCGCTATGACAGTGCCACCAAGCGGCCGGTATGGCGGGATTTTGGCTCTCCGCCATGAACCTCCATCGGCCATAGGCAACGCTGGGCTATATGCCCTCCTCATTCAACATTCAACACTAGTTTGGAGATGTGCTCACATGACCAACACTGTTTTGATGGAGCATGGAGCAAGCAGTCTTATTTAGATGGAAGTTTTCAGTTGTTTGTTTAGTTGATGTTAGTTAGCACAGGATGATCGATAGTAAAATCTCCTCTACAGACATACAATTTCTAGCATTGAAATGAGCAGATATTAGCCCCCGTTGTGGTATGTAAAACCAAAAGCAGAAAGATATTGTTCAATGTAAAAATTGCCTTTGAAAATGCTGTGCATAGGCTAAGTTAACCAAAACACCACTTAGTTTGAGAAACTTGACAGTCATAATAACATGCTTATATAGAAAATTTAAGAGTGGATTGAAATCACAGTATCAGTATCAGGTAAAATAATTTTAGCCATATGCCTGACCTAAAGAGAAAAGAAAATATATAACAAACTTTGTAGAAATGAAAATAAAAAATTAAAATTAGAACAAAAATGGCTTAGGAGAGATTCTGTAATAGTGTAGGCCAAAACAATCCTTAAAAAAGGGTAGGGTATCCCACCATATAAGTCCCTATATGATGACCATGATTTGCTAATTTGTCTGCACAATTATTTGCCTCTGCATATATGGGAATAAATTAAATTTATGTTCAAAGCCTTGCAATTTGCCCATCTAATTACGAGACACCAAGGAATTAACTCTTGAATACTCATTTCCATATCTCAAGCTTGAATGGTGCCCTCGACAACCCGAAGTCAATAGTATGATGTGATGTTACGAGGAATAGTGGCATTGCAGTGTGAGAAGCACAAATGACAACTATGTCAACCCAATTGAATTGCCATTTGTTTTGCACCAAATAGAACCCAATTGCATAATCTCATCACAAGTCTTTGCCATCAAAACGTCTGTAGATGTATAACATTACTCCCCAACCAACTACACTGAAATTATAGTTTTGATTGCACATTACATATGATACTTACTATATTTACTGTCATTGTTTGCATATAATATAGTTTTAATTGGAGAGATGTGAGATGTAGTACGTGGGAAGGTAGAGATGCATAGACAAGTTTTGGAAGCATATATATTTTTGTATGGTAGAGGAGTGGCACTAAACTAGAAGTCAATATTTTTCTGCACAGTTAACTACAAGGTCTATGATGTTGTATTGTACAAAGCTTAACGTTGAGTATTAATCAGAGTTATTAATCCCGGATAGCGGAGCGGAGCGGCCGACCCCCGGGAATGGGAAAAGTGGGAATAGCGGGATCCCGGATAGCGGGATAATCTTTTATATACTAATAATTATATTATAATAATCTATAAAAGAGGGCTTGCGAACGGCGGAGATGTGAGACAAAAGTAGAAGAAGATGGAACGGTGGAGATTGGAGAAGATGTACTTGCTGGAACGGTGTATGGTGCTGTTGCTGCCTTGCTGGAAGCCTGGAACGGTAGAGAAGATGCAGACTGCAGTTGTATGTTGCTGCCTTGCTGGAACTGGAACGGTGGAAGTGGAACAGTGGAGAAGAAGGGCACAAAAATTAGGGCAGAAGAAGAAAGTGAGAAAGTGAAACGAAGGAAAGAAAATATAATGCAAATCTGTTTTAAAAAGTATTTTAAAAGAGGGATAAAACAATAATTTTGTCCAAAATAAAATAAAATAAAAAAAACCAGGCCCAAACCGCTCCGCCCGGGAGGCGCCCGCTATCCGCGACCCGGGATAGCGGCGATAGCGCCCGCTATCTTCTCTCCGCCACCGCACCCTTGTGCGCGCGCGGCAGGCCTCCGCTCCGCTCTGGAGCGCCGCTATAGCAGCCGCTACGGGCGCTATTAACAACTCTGGTATTAATTAACCAAATAGAAAATAAATTTATGTTTTGGAAATGAGAATGCTACCATGGATGAGGGAATACTCAGAATTGATAGTACTAAGAATAAAAGCATTAAAAAGAAAGTTTGTAGAAAAGAGAGTGATATGAGGTATGAATCAATAGTATGACATAAAGAGGAACCAATAAAAACCATTGAGAAAGATCTATATAAACGCTTTGTAATAAAACATTTTATATTTGTTTGATCCTTGGTGTTCACTTCGCAAGTGTGAGAAGGCTGTTGTTTTGTTAAATTTACATTATACAAAACTAACTCCTCAAGTTTGATTGAATGAATATGTTTTATAGTTGGTCATTTGGAGCGACAAAACTACCAACAGTATCTGTTGGAACTTGGAAGTATCTGACTATCTTCTCATTAAATAACAATCACCTTAATGTGAACACATTTTATATCCTCATTGATAAAAGTTATCCTTGAGGCATGGTTCCATGTTTTGCATTATGTCCTACTTTAATATTTGTGGTTGACGCTCTAGACTGCATATATTTGTTGATAGCTCTAATTTGTATTTGATTTGCAGCATTGATGTTATCTCTACAGCCTTCGAGGGACAATCAGCCGTGAATAGGCAAAGGATGGTTTATAAAGCCATATGGGAGGAGCTTCAGAGTGTAGTTCACGCTGTTGATCAGATGACAACCCAAACTCCTGCTGAAGCAGCGGGAAAATGATAAAAAGATCACGAGAACATTACAGACAATGAACTAGGAGTAATTGTGATCTTAATAGATGTTTGTACTGCTGTTGTCTTGGAATGGCTTTCTATTGCATCGTGTTCACATGCAAATGCAAGACATCAGTTTTCTAATTCACTCTGGGAGTTACTAAATTCAGTAAATTGCCAAACAACTCTCACCTGGCAATTTAATTTATCAAACATTATGCAGCAATGTTCTGCGGGTTGTTTATTATTTCTAGTTTGTAGCCCCTATTTACTTTCTCAATTTTGTTTTAATTTCTAAAATAAATAACAGAAATAATGTGCTTGTTTAATTCTTCTCATTGTGAAATTCAATGAATAACATTTGAAATGTCATTTTCTTAATTTTTTAGAATGTCAGTAATTCAATCTTCATATTTGATGGAAAGGAAATATCCAACATATGGTGAGTTCAGTTTCATTTTGAGTCACAGTAAGTAACGTGTGTATAAAATCGATTTAATTCAATTTCATTTTGAATCACATTAAGACTCACATATTACCCTCTCCTCTGACCTCATAATAAGACTCACTTATTACCCACTCCTCCGACCTTACAATAATTGAGTACTACTACTGTAGTGTTTCTTTGGATTGTTGCTTCAAAATCGTTCTTTTCATTTCAAACATTTCTATTCTAGCTTCTTACAAACCCATGGGGTGCTTCTGTAACTGGATAACCAGCACTGAAAACTGTCTTTACATATCAATGAATCAGATTCAAGACAAGAAATTAGCAGCTTTTTGGAGCACTAATGTCAGCTTTTTGGAGCACTAATGTTTTGCTTCTAAATCACATTGTAGTGAACAGGAAAGAGTGTATTGCAATAGAAGTGTTATTGCCTTTAATCACTGCATTTATCTACAACTGGTGTCATGAATGGAATTAACAACAGAACACAGACTAATTCCTAGCAAGAAAGAGAGGACTAAGAAGCATTTTGTGCAACTCTTTCAATTTCCAATGCTATTCTTTCATTGTCTGAATTTATAATGTTTTAGTATGCAAGTCTATTTATACACGGATTATTCTGCACACCAGTAGCTCTAACTACCTATAACTAGCTTTATAAAGCTAGTTGCATGTTTCTGCTGTGCCATGATCTATGTTAAGTATGGTGTACTGTAACTAACTTGGTCAGTCAGTTATAGAAGTTATACTTCTCTAATTATAGTCCACTATACTTGTAGTATACTCTAGTATCTCTAAGCTATGGTACAATTCATATAGAATGATTAAAAAAATACATCATCAAGTTACAATTATTGTGGAAGTTTTCTTCCATAATTTTCATGCATGAGTATTACTTGATACACACGTTTTGAATTTATAAATTGCTATACAAGTATTGACAGTATAAACAAGCCTATAAATAAATACCCCCCAAAAAATTAAAAATCTCCTCAAACAATTGCTTAGAGGTATATCTATGTTTGTTTCATGCCACTGTGACAAATGCAGCACTAATCAATAAAAGGTAATATCGGATTCATCCCAAGCCCCAACCCTCCTGCAAAACTATCTGGCTCTACATGCTTCACCCTACCAAAATGTCGAATATGGCGCATCAGCCTTGCTAGGAACGGATTGTGACATATAGTTGAGCTGTCACATACTACAGCTAAATGTTTGCGCGCTCTTGTGATGGCAACGTTAATTCTTCTGCTATCGCCGAGGAATCCAACAGCTCCCAAAGTGTTTGATCGTACCTATTTTATTATATTTTTTGAAAAAGGGGGGAAAACAAATCCGAATATTAGTTCATGAGCAAGACCACTAGAAATATGATTTTGCTTATGTGTAGCTATTACTATATAAGTTATAAGTTGTTTTTATAAGCTATCTTAACCAGTTTATTGAAATAACACTGAAAACAACTTATGGAATTGTTGAAACTGTGGTTGTAGAGATTGGATTTAGATCTTACCATTGATAAAATTACAGCATCAGCTTCCCGACCTTGAAAGCTATCAATTGTGGAAACTTCTGTACCAGCAGCTTCTGGAACCCCATCAAGCATGTCCCTCAAAAGTTGAACTTGAGCAACATAAGGGGACTGAACTACAATAGCTTTTGGGCTAACACCTGAGTTTTTCAGATTCAAATCCACAAGAAAAATCTACTGTCAGCAAACACAAATGACAAATAAATTACTTCCCAAGATTTTGAAACATTGAAAGACAGTAGTTTGCATTGCAAAACTACCACAATATCAAATGGAATGCAATAATCTCTTTATCGATTACAATCAAGAGAGTAAAACGTAATTACCAGCATAAATTAAGGAAAAAACATGCTGCAAAACTATATCAGCTTCTCCTTCATTACATAATGAGCCAGTTCCAGCCGGATCTAGATACTCTTCGCAGCCAACTGATAAACTTCCATACGGCATTCGAGTGTCAAGCAATAGCAAAGGGCACTGTGTTATCCATGTAGGCTGCAACAACATCAAGTAATAAGAATTAGCTTATGAAAACAATTTGATTTGATTTGATCTTTTGTTTTAGAAATTACTAATACAACAGGGCCCAAGAAATAAACCGGAGCTTTCACATGACAAAGAATATGAAGATATCAATTAGGAACATTATATACCTTCACAAAAGGAGAGTCTACAAGAAGATGAGAAAAAACAGTCTTTGAGGACTTCAACAATCCACCATACATCTCCTTTGAAGCCCAACTTGCAATGGCATCATTCATACGGTATTGTGTAGTTAACCTAGTAGTGAGAATCCCTTCATGCAAAGTTGCAGCTCTCTCCAATAACGATATTCCTAAACCACCTTCTAACGCTTTTCTAGAAAATATCACAGGAGCTAGTTGGCATTGATCACCGGCAAGAATACATCGTTTTGCCTGCAATATAGGTATCCAGCAAGACGGTTCAATTGCCTGTCCAGCTTCGTCTATGACTACTAAGTCAAAAGCATCTAGCTTTCGAATGAAAGGATCGGCTGCTCCGGTATTGGTGGCAAGCACAACCTGAGCACTAGATAGAACTTCATCTATCATCAGCTTTTCCTTTTTCTTTAGCGACTTTCCTAGCTGTTTCAGAAGTTGCCGTATGCCTGCAGCTAATGAATCATCCTTTAAACAATGTCTTAGATCTTTCCTTAGATCAGACTTCTTCCTCTCATACTCTTCACGATAACTTGCAAGCTTCCTATTTACAATTTCTCCCAAAGACTTTGACGCTACTGTTTTTGATATACGGGCAGGGTTTCCAACTCGCACGATAGTTATTCCAACATTTAAAAGCTTTTCCACCATATTATCAACAGCTGCATTAGTAGGTGCTGTAACAAGAACCCTTTCGCCTTGCTCAACGGCACTTGCTATAAGTTGCTTGAGCAAACCAGTCTTACCTGTACCGGGAGGTCCTTGGATAACCAATAGTGGCCTCTTCTTGTTCAAACCCAATGCAATTGCTCTCTGCTGAGATTTATCAAAGGATTCACTTCCTAAAACTACATTGGTTTTTTCTTCCTCCCAGTCAACCAAACTATTCTTCTCAAGCCATGCAGCATCTTCCGCATCTCCAAATAGAGTTGCAATTACAGAAATTGATGGATTTTTCTTCCGCAAACCGTTCTTCTGAAGCATCATGAGCGCTTCACAGTTGCGCTGGAAACACATAGAAGCTTCTTAGTACATATTATATATATGAACAAGAATCTTATTTGAACTGAATAGTTTTGTCACATGATTGAATAGAATACCTCATAGGTAAGTGTATCAGCCAGTCCTTGAATACGGTCAATGCGCACATTCTTTCCAACTAGTTTAGAGAAAGAAGAATCACCATGGCGTAGCTCTAGAGAAACAGTAATACTATAACCATCATCGCCAAGATTGTCTACAACTCCTTGCATGCAAGAAGTTGTAACTGCGCCCTTGCTGTCGCAAGTTCTCACACAAACCATTTCTCCAGGCGAAAGAGTAGTGGGCGGCAATCGATGGTTTCCTTCAATCTTGAATAACACCAAATGCATTCCCCCCAATCCTGTTTAAACAGTTCACATATGATTATACTAGATAACTAGATACATATTTTCCTGAATACTTGAATTGAAAAGGAAAGTTGAAAAAAAATAAAGAAAATACCTGTAGAGGTACTGATGGCATTTAAGTTACAAATGGTGTCACATAGTTCTTGCTGAGGCTGGCTATGGCTAACCAAGAACTCAATTGGTTTTGACGGATCAGAAGCATCATCCGGTCTAGGAACAGCATCCAATTCTTCCTGAGTAAACTCCAATTCAACATCCCTTTCAATATTGAGCAGTTCTGACATCTTGTTGGTGAATTCGTCTATCCTATTCTGGATCGCTTTGACTCTTTCTATGTCTATTCCTAAAACACCTTGGACCATCTTAGGCTGTGCTATCTTCCTCGCAACTGCCCTGTGCTGAGCTGCAATTAAACCATTCTCAATCATAACCCGAAACAACATAATTACTATTTACTAATTACTATTAACAATAACTAAGCTTCTTTTCAAGTCTAGTTTTATAACATCATTCTGACTCTTATATTATAACATAACTCAAAATATACACTAAGTAAGCTCTTCCAAACACACCCTTAATCTCTATGCATGTTGTTTTAGTACATGAACTAACAAAACTCCAAAGCATGTCAACTAAATAGAACAATTAAACATGTTGATGATATGATAAAAAGGGAAAGAAAAGAAAAACCTGAATTAGCAAGTTCCTTAAGCAATTTCCAAGACTGAGTTTCACGCCAATCCTCAACCAACGATTTACTCTGCATATCTTGAAGAACATCACGCAACTCTCTCTGAAAGTGATCAAAGAGAGTAGGATAATGAGTACAAGCTTTCAAACACATAACTTCAAGTCCAAGAGGCATAGGAACAGCATTCAAATAAGGTTGAGCTTGAATCACAAAAGTAAGACCAGGTCCCATTCTTTGTTTCATCTCAGAAAATTCCAAATCTTCGACTAACTCAGCAGAAGCAATATCAAAAGCCATAGCTTTCATACTCTCACGAATCCAACTCACCACACTTTTCCCAACCTCTTTCCACCCAATTGGGTCACCAGTATTCTCATGAACATGAACACGAACACTCTTGTTCATATTCTCAAAGGGTATTTGAATTTCAGTTTCCCTCTGTTGTTGTTCTTCTATTGCTACATCATTTCTTCTTCTCCTCCTTCTTCTTTTTGTGTTGCTTGGAAGCTTTGTTTGGTTACTGTTTGTGACGTTTTGAATAACACGGTTATGTGTTTTCATTGAAGTTTTGCACATGATGGTGTTAACATTGTTACGTGTTAATAAACAGAATGACCCAAATGAAGAAGATGAAGCAAGTTTGGATTTTGATGGGATTCTACCGCAGAAGAAGCAAGTTGATGTTGCTTCCATTGCTGCAGTTCAAGAAAATTATAATACTCAACTGAGTTATAAGCATAGGATTTTTTTGTTCTTGAATGGTGTTTTAGACAAAGACAGGGTTTTGAAACATGTTAAAAAAAACCAGACCGAACCGGTGGGTTAGACCGGTGGAATCAGAAAACATGTGGATTGAAATTATTTAACCACAATTTTGGGTCAAATTAAAGTCAAATATTTAAAAATAAAAATAAAAACATTGGTTTTGAAGTAGAACAGCAATGTGGAGGATTTGCGGTGATTAAGGAAAGTAAGTGAATATTAAGATTCCTTTTTTTGTTGTTGCATGGATGGAAGAAGAAAAAAAAGAGGACAAGTGTGAGGAGGATTTTTTCGGTGAAAAGGATGGATTGGGTACAACGTGGACAAGCCATGATCTGAGGTTCTTCATGTCATTGGTTGCTTCGATTTTGGGACAGTGATTTGAGTTTAGCCCTTTCCCTATGATTCTTGTTCACGTGCTTCTTTCCTATCCTCATCTTATATTCATTCTCATAAGTATTTTATTTGTGCTTTTGTTAAGAAAATGATTAAATAATAAGTATTTCATTTAAATTCTGCACGGTTTTTAAGAAAATATTAGATGTGTTGATTTTTTTAATGATAAAATTTATATTATTTTCTAAAACATTTTTATTTATTATAGTTAGTAGAGTAGTTGAAATACGTGAAAGCCAATAAATAAGTGTATAGTAGTAAAAAAAATAATAAATATTGTATTGATATTCTAAAGAGACATTTATTTTGAGACATTAAAAAAATACAAATAACACATTTATTATGAGACGGAGAAATATCTTTTATTAATTTTATTTATTACTATTAAATATAATATATAATACAATATATATTTTTTTAAGTTTTAATATATTAACAATAAAATTTCACTTCTTAAAAATAATAGATAAAATGGTTAATATTATTTTACTCCTGTCATATAGGCGTTTTCTGGTTTACCCTCCTGTAAATTTTTGTTGTTGTAAATACTCTCTTGCCATTTCAAGATTCCATCAATATAAATCTTTGAGAGGTCTGTCACATGTCCAGTGCATATGTGTCAAGTTGAGTGTCAATTTTTTTGATATTTCATTTTTTTAAATGACACCTAAGAATATTTTTGCCACATCAGTAATTAAGGTCTATAATATTACATTTGCAATGTTCATTTTAGTCTTTCCTGTTGTACCCCAAAATTTGTTATCTCATGTCTCAAGGGACCATCCTGGATTCTTAGAATTACTTCAGTCAAGTTTGAAGCCTTAGATCACAATTTTCTAAGAAGAATCATTCAAATTATCAAAAGGGGACAAAATGAGCAAAATCGGAGTTTCAGCTGGAAAAAGTCAACCGGACACTAAAAAAGTCAAACTTTGACTTTTTGACCAAATTTGAGTCTCAAAAATCACATTATGTCAAGACATCCAAAAATATGAAATTTGATCATCAAAAATCAAGAGAATCAAAAATCCAACTTTGCAAGACTTTGAATTTTTTCTAAGTATTTTCTATACTTGGTTAATTTCATTTACTTCATGACATCTTTTATTATAATTCCAAATAATTCAAAATGATGCAAGTAATTCAAGTTATTACAAAGTGGCATTTTTGCAAAATTACAAATTGTAAAACTATGTCTTGTTTGAATTTTCTCAAAACCTTGCCACAATATTTTGCCCTTGATATAATGTGCATAAAATATTCCACAAGACCAAATTTGTTTCATGCTACAAATTATATTGTCCAAGTTGAACAAAGTATGATATGCTACATTACCACAACACCCCAAAACCTGCTCCATTGCTGCCTACAAGAAACCTTGTGCTATACTGCCCCACAAGTACGCATATGTTGTTCTATACAGTCCAAAACTGCTCTATGCAGTTTGCCCCAACCTGCATCATAACAGTCCCAAAATTGCACCAAAATGGCAAAAGAAAATTGTGTGAAGAAAGTATCAAAACAGTAGGCAAAAAAAAATTCAAAATAACTTATTTTGTTTCCCCCCTAAACCTCAGTCAAGGGTCTACAAAAAGGACTGTCTCATAAGACATAAGGGTTGAAAATGAGAGAGAGGAGAGAGTTCTTTTGTTGAGCAGAAAAACAGTATTCTTTGTAACCTTGACTCATTCATTCAAAACCAACTCTGTTCTTATTCAAAATCAGAATCCCAACCCATTACTCCATCAAAAAACTCTCCCATAAGCCAAACACCTTCTCACAAAAAAAAGATCGTCCAAACATAAAACATTCCCTGTAGTGCTATCACCTTCACCCTCAAAACACCGAAAGAAACACAATACAGTTTAACTTAGTTTCAACAACCCGGAGCAACTTCCTGAAGATTTATTAGAGCCATCACAGTGTCTGGAAAACATTCAGATTTAAAATAGCTAGTGCAGCCCAAAAATAAGTCTTTTTGACTTGATATCTTTTCACACATCATTAATAATTTATTTTGAAGATGAGATGTAGCATTTTATGATCCTTTTGAACTATTTATTTGCTTATTGTTTAGGCTTATTTAATTATTTGTTATTTATGTTTATCCATCATATGCTGTAAACTAACCTGTACAGACAAGAAAAACCATGTTTAAGGCAAAAAGATGCAGCATGAGTCGACGCGTACTCACATGCGTCGACCCTTTCTAGGTGAAAAAACAGAGTATGAGTCAACACATAGCCTTATGCATCGACTCATACTGTAAAAAATCTCCAAAATAGAAACGTGAAAGATGTTTGGGTCGACACATACGCGTTTCGCATCGATACAAGAAGAAGTATGAGTTGACACATCTCAGTATGCATCGACTCATACTGAGTTTGGTCAGACTTTACAGGGACGAGGAAAAGCTATGTGTCGATGCATAACAGCATGGGTCGACACATAGCAGTTCAAAATGCATTTTTTCCTTTATTTTGCACTGTTTTTTACATTGTTTTCATTATTATTTGATATGGTTGTAATATTTCTGTTTCCACTTCATCCCCATTGTTAATTTGTACCCCATCCCCCTAAAGTGATGTAATAACTTAGGATTTATTTTCCGCATTTTTACTTGCTTTCATATATTGCTAGTAATTAGGATGTATGGCAAGATAAAAATCAACAAGTAGATAACCTTTCAAATACATGCAAACTAACACACTTGCACACTAGAATCTCTAGGGTAATCTCATTTTGTTGCCTTTTGGAAAATAGTCATGTCCCTCAAATATGGGACATTTTAGAAAAGAACCCTTCGATAAAAAAAGATCGTAGTCCCTCGATGACCCTCGATGTTGCCTCCGGTAAAATGATCTAGTCCTTAAAACGACATTACTAAAACGTCACATAGGTTACTTTCTATGACTATACAAATGTTCCACACCTGTTCCTTCACATATAACGATGGGGCTTCTTACCAAAACAATGGTAAGATAGCCACATCTAGAGGATAAGGAAAAGAACTTTTAAGACCTCTCGAGTAGGTAGATTCGCTCCTAGTTACTCACTTGCTCACAACAAAAAAACATTTTAGACACTAGCACTTCCATTTCAAAAACATTTTCAAAAAGATAAAACATTTTGTATACGTTCTTATAGAGACGAGAACTATTGCAAAATATCTTTCCGAAAACCACTTTCCAAAACACAATCCACAAACACATCTTTGGACTATCTTTCGAAACAAAACTTTGTACGCGTTCTTATAGAAACAAGAACCATTACAAAGAGATTTTTTCAAAACACTTTCAAATCCCACACCACAAGCACATTGTCAAAACAAAAGCAAGTGATCTAGCGAGTAACTAAGAGCCCATGAAAAACCATGGATGGAAAGGGTGCTAATACATTTCCTTTTCATAATCTACCCCCCGAACTCAAGAAAACATCTCTAAAGGTCTTTCCTATGCTCTTTCACCTTTCCTTTTGGATAAAAGAAAATTCGGTGGTGACTCTTGCTAAACCGCAACATTTGCAAACACAAACGCAAAACACCCAAGTCAGTTCTCCCACCGTATCACAGAACTGGCGACTCTGCTGGGGAACAACTTAAAAGTGGGGTTACCTTAGGGTTAGATCACCTTTACTTGCTTTCTTTGTCTGACTTGTATGCTTTACATTTTGTTCTTTGTTTGGGCTTACTTTGATCCTCCACCCGGATCTGGGACACCTCTTTAGGTAAATAGCAATAGATTGTGGAAACTGTACGGCGTAGACCGATATGGTTGAAACAATGGATATGTTAGCATGACGCATTTGTGGGTACCGGTATCCCTCGTGGTGAATCGAGGAGAATACGGGGCCGCTGAGTGGCGTCATAAAGCACTAATTGACTTTAGAACCCTAATTGAACAAACTTGGCCATTAGGACGTAGTGAGATAACCGGTTTCGGTGTAGAGATGAAAGTTGGTTGATACTCGATACTACACCCATTGAGGCTGGACTTTTGGGATATCTCAGCCGCAAGAAAAGATTGATTGTGCTGAGACAATGCCTAAGAGAAAGATCGGTGATATTGAGATCCTTTAGAACCCGATCACTATTACTAGGACAGGTTGAGCCAACTAAACTTCAAGAGGGTACTTACCTATAAAACCTCATGCAAGCCTAAAACATAGGGATTTGTTTGCTTTGTGTGTATATATTTACTTGTACATAACATCATAAACATCATAAGCATCACGAGCATGCTCACTAACCATTTCAAGGATTTAGAAATTTATCATTGTTTTTGTTTTGTAGGTCATGAATTTTGTCCGAAGAAACACCATCTGAATCAGCTTTGTAAAAGCACACCCTCAGCTTCAAGAGTTAGCCTCAAGAGTGCTCGGGGATTATCCTTTTACCAAGAAATACGGTCGACTCCTCAGTTTGGCTACATCTGGTTTCCAAGAAGAGATGATGTGTGTGTTGTTCCAATTCTTTGATCCCGTACATCATTGTTTCACTTTCCCGGACTATCAATTAGTACCTACACTGGAAGAGTTTTCTCTACTCTTAGGGGTGCCCGTGCTTGATCAGATACCGTTCACCGGTCTAGAAGGGATTCCAAAGCCCGAAGTCATCGCCGAAGCTTTGCATATGAAGAGAGCCGACATCATAGCCAATTGGGAGACAAG